TATTTGCATTCTTGAAATTCAGTATCACTTTATTTCTGTATTCTTTGAACCAAATTCTGCCAAATGCAAGAAACTGACATTTGCTGGTTTCACATTTTCCTTTTGTTTTGTTGTACTTTCTTTTATAGCTAAAAGATGCAGAATGTTCTGTACTTCAATTAATCTTTAAATCATTATTGTGCATCCTGAATCCTTTTACCACATCACTCTTAAAGCTCAGTCCACTAAATTGTTGCACCAGTTGCCTTATCTCCTTTATGGGTTTTGCCATCAGTTGATACATTTTTCCATTATTGTCATTAAACAGCTTTTACTCTGCTTTTTTTCTTTGTGCAATTGCCTCATTCTCAAGAGGTTTAAACAAGGACAGCCTTTGTGCTTCTATCATGATGTACTTTTAGTGTTATTTTGCTTATCTCTTCTTTCTGCTTACTATTTTCTAGGGTAAAAGTGAACAAACCATTAAATCTTTCTGAACATCTACTATTGTGTCAAATGATTTAGGTGACAATTGGTGTTCCTGTCTTCACCTGGGTATTATTTTTTTTTCTTCTAGGATGTTTTAACTCCCTGAAATATGTTTGTAATAAGAGGGGGTTTGTGAGTTCAGTTTTTCTTTTCCCCATTTTACACTTGAGTTTTTAGCAGTTCTTAGATTTCCCTAGTGTCAGAGCCTCTTACAACCCATAAAAGAGGAGACACTGGATTGTTACACCTGGTCTTAAGATGGTCTTTGTTTGAGGATGACCTGTGGCCAAAATATGGCAAGAAAAAGGAACAGCTTCATGGTTTTCTCGTTATTTAGATGTGCCTTTATGTATTCTGTGTATGTAGGTGTAGTTAGGAGATGGTCATAATATCCAAGATGCTTTCCTGATATGATGGCAACTTTTCTTCCTGTACTTTTTTAGTTGGTTCTTAGCAGGACTTGTGGTCCAAATGGTTTCTAAGAGAAGGTTTCTTGCTCTAATTTTCCTTTTTTTTTTTCCAGAAAAAGCACATTTTTTATGGAAGTGTTACTTAAGATGGGGATTTGACTTGAAAAGGGATTGGCCAGGCATCTGGTCTTTATCAGTATTGGTTGAGTTATGCAAGTATCAATAGTATGGAGGAGAAGTTAGTGAACATTTGTTGAGGCAAATTATGCAGCCCCTAGACCAGGAGAAGAGACATAACCAAGAGGGGAAGGAGGAGCTAGCAGGTTTTATGTATTTGTGTAAACTGTAGTATAATTTTTTTCATGTTAAAATATCAACTCGAATTAGGTTCCCATCCTCCTTCTTTAAAAGAGTTTTCAGACAGAGTACTCCTTCATACTGTTTTGCTGTTGATAAGAGTTAGTTATAAAGGAAGTATTACAGCAAGTCTTTTGTTTGTTTGTTTGTTTCTAAGATCTCTGATGTCTTGTTCATTGAATTTTCTAATTTTTTCATGTATATGGACTAATAAAATTTACAGTCTTAGGCTTTTTAGAATATCAGAATCCTAGTGACAAAGCAAAGTACATTGTGTCAATGTGTTGCATTTATTTTCTGCCATACAACTTTATTTTCTGCCATACAACCTTCCTTTCATAATTCGAGTGCATTTCCCTACTTCCATGTTCACCAAATCATAACCACACGAAGAGTTTATTCACCACTTAGGAATGAAAGTCCATCTGTTAGTTATTATCTTTGCTGTACTGCAGCACTTCAGAATGAATGCTTGGGAGAGACTTTAAATGCCGTACCCAGGCTTTGCCCTCTCCTAAGCGAATACCAATACCTAAGAAATGCTACCCTCTTTGGTCTGGGAAAAAAAAAAAATCCTTCGTTCTTCCCATAAGTTAGCATAAGTTTGGTTGTGGATTTTTAAGACTAGGCTCAAAATAGATAGCATGATTTATTGTATCTGAGTTATGCCAAGTAAATACCTCGATGTTTCCACTCAGTTCTAGGAAGAAAAATCATCTTTGTTTAAAATATGTGCAAGGGGTTTAGTTGATCTCTTTCACAGGAAAATCATGAACGTCATTATACAAACATGCATTTTAGTAATATTTACAGTTACTAAAACTTGTTTGTTCTCTTTTCGATGTCTAGAAGACTAAACTAAAGAAATAACATGGTTGCAATTCATCTTTAATTCCAAATTGCAGATTTTTCTTTATTGTTATTAAAATAAAAGTTCCTGTAGATGACATTCAGGAAAACCTGATCAGCAGGGAATTTCCTGCTGTCTGAATTCAAGGAGACAAGTTACGCCACTGCTGTGATAGCCACGGGCACCATTTGAGGGGAACTTGTTGTGATGCAGTGACCTAATGCGGCATTCCTGCCTGTGGGAGACAGATTATGAGACTAAATTGTTGAATTCCTGGAAGGTGGTGGAATAACTATAGATAGTGAGGCTAGCCTTTGCAGAAACTCATAGATGCTATCAGAAGTGCAGACCCACATTAATTTTAGTATTTTCTGAAAGGTAACAAAGCTGTTCATAGAGCAAATAGAACAGTTTATATGGGAACTGATGTAGCATTGCTGAATCTTGCTAAATTTTCTCAATTATCACAATTTTTGTAGGCTTTTAAACTGCCTACTGGCAGGCAATTTCTATTTAATTTTTGTCCTTCAAAAAGAAGTTATTACTATTTCATTCCAGCTAAAATCAAAAGCTGTTGTCTGCTAAAATCATGTCTTTGTGGTCCCTATAAAGGGAGTCGTTTCTTATTAAGAAAAAATCCAGGCCTCTTTATTGCTTCGCGACATGGGCATAAAGCCTTGCTTAGGGCAAGAAAATAATCAGGAAAGTGTATCATTAGATGGTGGGTGTTGTTCAGGAAGGCTGAGGGAATGTATGGAAGGGAGAGAGAAAATATGTGGAAAGTAAATACCAGGGAGGAAAGAAGATTGAGAGAGAAGGTGCAAAGAGAAATCCCACTGAGTACAGGGATCGGGAAGCTGTAGTGCAGACAATTTGCATGAACTGGGCAGTGGGAGAAAAGAGAAAGCAAGGGGAGGGTTTAAAAGAAAGATGTGAAATTGGGTATTAAGGCCATGGTTCTGTTGGCGTGGTCTGTTAATTTGGAGCCAGACTTATTCCAAATCCATCCTGGCATGAGGGGCTGAAGGAGCTTGTTTAGGATGACAGCTTCAGTTAAGTTGGTTCCTGCAGCTGGTCCTGGAGCATGGAAGAGTCCAAGTGAAAGGATAAACTTATGCTGGTTATTAATTTTACTGAATTGTCACTTGAAATGTACTGTGAAGGAAGGGCCTGAAGAACATTGCAGCTCATTGTGGATTCTGCTGCTCATTGCAGCTCTGCCTGTGGTGAGACCAATTTGCTGCACATACAGGAAAGGACCTGCCATTCCAGTGTTATCCTACATCCTCAGCTCATCCTGGTGAATAATCATTACAGGAAGTTAATACTTGTAAAAACACCATTTCATTTCATTTTTCTCCAAACTGGTATAGCCTTTTCATAAGTAAAAATTGAAAAGAGAACCTTACAGGGCAGTCTTCTTTTACCCATAAGTCTCTGTTGTTCACCCTCTGATGTATGACCTTTTTCTAGTCCTGGGATAAAATCGGGAAGATTTTTATCATGACAAGGTCTTCAGAGATAACCTGAAAAATCAGTCTTGCTCAGGAGCTGTTCTTAATTAGAGTTTGGAATTGATGTGACAAATACTAGTTTTGTTTTGAGATCTCTTAAGCACAGTCCAAGAAGTGGCTGGCAGGTGGATTAGCAGAAAACCTCAACTTGCACTTGTGTATGAAGTAGGGAATGTGGTAGACTGAAGTCTTGGATAGCACAGACAGCAACAGCCAAGTTTAAATAAGAGAAGCATTAAGCTTCTTTGTTATATTCTTCCTGAAGTTGACAGCCCACATTATGCACTAAGAATTTAGATGTTTTCTCTGTCACTGTCAACCAATAAAATTCACTTTAAAAACAATAAAGATAAAGCTCTGACTCAGTGATCTAACACTTCAGTAATTTACTATCATAAAATAGTTTTAAGTACAAATGTTTTATCTTATGCCAAGCTGGACGCTAAAGATGTTTTGTCTAAAATATGAGATAATGGAAAGTGTATTGTGGCATGTGAATTACTTTAGCCTCTTGGTGGTAAATGTTTGCTTAAGCATAAAAGAATGTGTTGAGGTCCTGGCAAAGGAAAGGTACTGCCATACTTTGCATTTACAGTACTGTAAATAAAGCAGTAAATATGTTTCTTTTCATGTATGTTAATGCACAAGTTATGAATGCTTTCATTCAATAAGAAATATAATATACTGTTATCCCTTTTAAAGGGTTTCAGTAAGAAGAGGTCATAATTACTTTGGCTTGAGTGAAACATGAAACCAAATATTTTCATGATGATTTGAAGTTGAATATGAGAGAATTTTTGCTCAAACTAAGTCTCTCTTAAATCCTAAGAACTCAAATCCTGTTTTACCCTCAGTATTCTAGTTGTGTGCTGACTCCTGATGTACTGCTCTTAATCACACATTACTGTAAATCATTAAGTATATGAATCCTTCACCATCCAGTGTTGGTTTTGGCAAAAGAAAATACAACTGCGTAGTATTTTAATGATCAGAGGAGGTACAGCAGCCATGGGCAATACTACACGTACTGCCTGCAGTATGTTTGGTTTTGAACTTCATTTGCCTTTAGCTGATAAAATAGCTTAGTGGTAATTTAATAATGCTGATTGCAGAAAGAATTGCATAACTCAGATTGCAGTGTGATAATATAAGAGCATCCTTTGGATGCTGCTCTTATAGGAAGTGAAAGCAACGGGGTCCCACCTTCAGAGGCCTTTGAAATACCCTTCCTTTCCCTAAAATCTCACATCCAGTTTTCCAGTTAGAGAGTTGGGAGAAAATATTACAGTTTGAGAAAATAATCGTGCTCAGAGAGCTTTTTGATATTTTCTTTTCCCAGAAAATGTATGTTACGTCCTTGCTAGTATTAAAATCCAAAATAAACTTCCTGTTATTTTTAAGGTACAATGAACTGGATGCCAGTAGAAGCCTCTTAGACAATTTGAAAGGCAAAGTAATAATTGAGTATCCAACATTATTTGTGGTCTTGAAAACACTGAAGAATGACATGGTGGTTCTTGGCAAAGGTGAGCACATATATATATTTCCTGTTATGCTATACTTAGATATTTTACTTACAGAAACAGTAATTAAGGATATACCTATTAATAATGTCAGGAATGGGCAGTAGGTCTTGTATTTCACTCTGAATCAAAACGATTGCTATAAAAAAGCTATTATGAATGCTTTGTCTTAAAAATGCTGACTGCTTACCTACATCCATTAGCTGTGTTGTATGTGTTTTTCTAACTTTTTTTACTGGTGCTTTATTCTTTTTCTAAAAGAATATTTATAGCCTTTAAAGTAAAACAACTCTTCAGACTTGTGCTAATTTTTTTATGTAGCAAAGTCAGGCTGTCTGGGGAAGATGAGTTTCAAGTAAGCCTGCTAATCTTGCATCCTAGCATAGCTCCTAACTTTGGACAAGTAATTCTGAATTGTGGGATATTTATTAAGAATCATAATGGAAAAGTAGGTTTTTGGGTGGGTTAAAAGCACAGTGTTATCTTTTGAAATTTACTTGAGGGAAAACTTTCATCTTGGAGTTAACTTGAAAGAGATTCCAGGTCTAGCAAGAATTTGTATTTTAATTTTTAAGTGAATTTCCACTGTTCTCCCCAGTATAAAGGCTTCATGTACCAGCTTTTCTTTCTGCAGCTGCTGAAATAGGGAATCAGTTCTCTTGTCTCCTAGTCCCCCACCTGGTCACCTTAGTTGTCAAATTCCATACTTTTCAGTGGTGAACCAGCTTGTAATTTTTACAGATTTTTGAGGGAAAGCTTTGAGATATATTTGCAATTACTGTTTCCCTGTGGCAGCTCAATCATGGCTCTGTATCTGTATAATTTAACTGAATAAATACGTGACTGAGAGTATTGTACCAGTGATACTGAACTTCCATGGATCTTGGCTGTTCTGGCTAGATTACACTGAGTGATCCACTGAGTGAGGGCAACCTGCTCTCAAAGATATGGTGTGTAAAAATTCATTGTGCTGTGCACTGCAAGGGCTTCTGAGAGTGAGACAGTGTGCCAGGGGATAAGGTAGGAGTGTTGTCTACATAACTGGGTCTACTGATACTCACCCTGGGAGTGCACAAACAAACGCTGGAGTACATGAAACTAGGTATTTTTGTGTTTATCCGTTATTTCTTGATATAGATCCCTTGCTTTTCGTTACTCAGCCCTACCCTTATGATTTTGAGATCAGGAGGGAATTACAGTTGATTGACTCATATACTTAATCTGAATAGGGTTGTTGTCATTGTCTCCTGAGCTAATAGGGAGGTTGTCCTTTTAAGGGTATAGATTCAAGTAAAGTGTTGATTGAACAACTATATTTTGAGGTCATGCTGCTGCAGCACCTAGCTAATTCTGTAAAAGGCAGAGAAGGGGAAGAGAGAAACAGTAATAGCTGGGGAAAGCTCTGTCACAGGGCAGGGCAAGTGTGTATCTTAAAGACAGTAAGCTTCCTCTGCTGCAGGGATCATTGGGTTAGCAGTCATCCCTGAAGCTGGTATTCTGGGAACACTGACAGCTATTTCAGGTTTTGAGAACTATTAGTTTTCTTTTGTTTTTCTTTTTCGTTGTTGTTTTAATTGTTTCTATATATTCCATAAAAAAAGAATTTAATAGCTCCCTATTGAGGTGTCTTGGGTATAACACAGCAAAAACTATGGCAAAAATATCATGATTTTTCCAACTTTTATCATAACTTATTTTTGTCATCTTCTCAATTAGGATGACAAACTCAGCCTTGAGTTTGTTTTGGATCCTCTGCTCTTGGAATTTTTTCTATTAAGCGTGGAAGCCTGTGACACGAACTTCACATTCTTTCAGAAAAACTGTGTTCAGAACATGAATATAAAAGTAGTAGGGCTTTTTTGTTGCTATTATTCTGTCTGAAGACAAAATACCACTTTGGTTGAAGTTTGTCACAATCAGTGTACTCTTCTGTTCTGTGTCATCTTTACAGAATATAGGAGGAAAAAAACCAGTTTTCATTTTGCTTTAACAGTTGCATTCACAGATAATTGCTAAGAGTGCAAATCTTGAGTTCATCTCCAGACTGTCCAGGGAGAAGTCTGTTGTAATCAGAGAGGTATTCTAGCCCCTTCCCATCTCCCAAGAAGTGACCTTTCTGCTACAGCATCTTCTGTGCTTCCTGCAGTCCAGTTTCTTTGCCATGTATGGCTTTTTGTATCAGTTGCATGCTCCTCCTAAGCCATCCATCCTGCTCTTGCTTATCCTATTTCTACCAATACTGCCTCTCCTTTCTGCCTTACTTGTGCCCCTGGAGGGACACTTGTCTCGCTCAGAGCGCCTGTCCGGCTGACCTCCCTTTGCATTCCAGGCAAACAGCTGCCACATTGATGAGTGGATGTCTGGCAGGGTGTCTGCTGCAGTATGAGGGCTCAGCTACCATAACCCTTCTGACTGTGCTGGCAAGGGACCCAGGCTGGAACAAGGAACAAAGTCTTGTGGGAATTTTAATTGCTAAAATATTGTTTCTTTACTGAGCAGTCTCAGATCTACCCCCTTCCTCGGGAAGAACAGAGGCAAGTTTTTATAGCCACAGCAACAGGCACACGTTGGGGAAAGATCACCATTCTACCTGTGATTCAAGTAGTAACTCCCAAAGACCGGGAGAGAGCTAGAGCTGGACACCTTCAAAGAGAAGCTGCTAAAATTTAATGAGCTTAAAGACTTTATTCTCTCCTTTTTTTCAGAAATGGCTGATGTATTTTGGCTGAAACTTTCAAGTAAATAAGGAAAATAAGGATTGAGAACAGAAACTGCCACTGAAAAATCTGGAGTTTAAATTTTTAATTATAAGTAAACTGCAGACAGTTTTATGGTGGGAATGGGCAATCTTAATTTATAGGCAATGCTATCAGCACCATACAAATATGGTCTTTTTGAGTGAAGACAATAAAGTGTTACACTTTATTGTAACACTTCTAACAATAAAGTGTTACAATATTGTAATTGTAAAAGTGTTACAATTACAATATTGTAACACTTTATTGTAATAAGTGTTACAATAAAACTTATTGTAACAGACAAAAATAAAGCTAAAAATTGTCTGTTGAGCTTTGCTGTGAGTCAGAAGATTGCCACATTCTTTTATGTGATGTTTTGATGCTTGACTTCCTTAATAGCAAAACCTACAGGTGCTCTGATTTCAGCATACAAGGTCAGTCATGGCTGAAGATAGTAGGGGATTATAGAAGCTTTCACAGGACTTAGGGGCAAAAACAATCCTTACTTTTTGCATTACTCAGTACATATCTGGCATATAAATGTTAATTGATTATACACTAGATTTAATGTAGACAAAATGTGACCTCTGATGTTTCTGGGTGAAATGCCTCTATTTTCTTGAACAAATTCCTTGGAAACTGTACAGGTGCACACTGTGTCCTATGTATTATCCATGTTTGCCAGCTGTAGAACTTATCTTGACAAGACAGTAACTATACTTCATCAACTCCCTTTCTCATAATGAAGCATCTGACACTTAATGCTCAAAAAGGTCTTTAAATTCATAGTCAGATCAAATACTGAAAATAACAATGAGAGCAGAGAGCAGAGTGTGAATCATGGACCTGCTTTGCTGTAGTTTATTTTTGTGCTGCTTGAGTGTCACGAACCAGTGGCATTTGGTGACCTCACTACAAGGTGACCAGGGTCAGTGCTTGTTAAAGAAGGATTCATGGGGTGTGAGGCTGAAGACCAGTTTTGGAAATGAGTGCTTCACTATATGATCTCAGCACAGCACAATAGCCATGCCCTAAAGCACAAGTTGCTGTGCAACTGGAACCTCATCAGCCTTAGCTCATGAATTCACATGGTTTATCACCATCTTTGGGATGCTGGAACATGTGGAAGAAGCACATAGGTACATCATTTTAATTTTCCAGTTTGAATTTCTCAGTAGTTCCCCATCTCAATTGAAATGCTAGTAAAAGTGTAAATTACTTATAATGTGTTACAGTTGCGATATGTGTATGTAGCAACTCGAAAACAACATTTAAAGCAAACCAAGCAAATGACTTACAATTCTCAGGAGAGGAAGAGTTTTGTGCTTTTCCACTTGACTGAAAGACCAAGATTTAAAAACTAAAATAAATTCTCAACATTGCCTGCTTTCTCTTTCAAAACAAGGTTGTACCCAGGGCTTTATCCCATGCTGTGAGACTGGCTATCCTCTTATGAAATAGTTGTCCTCAAGAAAAGTGTGATTGAAAGGAAAAGAAAATAGGAAACTGCTTCTGTTTGATAAGCCAACAACATTACTGAAACTAATTGCTTGTTTGGTTTTTGTGTTCTATATCCTCAGATGGCAGTGAACCTGTAGAGAACTCGGACAGTGAAAGTTCATCTATTTCATCTATGGAGGAAGGGGAAATTCGGGACAGTTCATGACAGTGCTTTGAGAGGAGAGGGTGGAATGAGCTTTTTGGGTTTTTAATTATTTAATTAAATGATTTTTTTATACAACTGAATTCCTAGAGGTTTGGTTTAACTTTCTTTGCTAAAGACAGCATTCCCAAAGTGCCTGCCTATTTTTGGATTTAGTAATGCAAATTTAGGGATGTAAATAAAGAGATGGGGAATTGCTGGTTCCAGAAAAAAAAATATATTCTTATTTAATTGCAACCTTCAATTGCACCATTGCTTTTCATTTTTTTCATTTTCCCCTAACAAGCTCAGTGTCTAACTTCCAGGTTTAAATATCTGACCACATATTTGTATTTTATGTGCTTTTGGGTCTTAATGCTTGAACTTACTGAAGAAAAATGAAATCTAATTCTAATGAAACTGAAAAGGGTCTTTTGTTACTTTTGACTTTAGTCTTTTATGGTGATATTTTGGGTGCTTGGTGCAATACTTTTTTTGTCTTACTTGGTTGCATCCTTGTTTAATATGTTAATGGACAGGTCAAACTGTGTTTTCAGGGTGGCTTGTTGCTGTATGTTTAATCTTCTACTCAGATCTTCTACATTAGCGTGGGGTTTAAAATCAACAGAATTGGATGCATAGAGTGGCACTGATGCAAATACACTGTACTTCTAAAGAATGTTTGTGTTCTGCATCTCATGTTCCTAGTATACCTACTGAAGTTACGTATTGTAAATACTTCCTGGCATATCAACTCCATTTATCTACTTTAAAACAAGTAAATTGTAAAAGAAAAAAAAAATCCTGTACTTTATCATCTGCTGACAATAGAAGTTTGTGGTTAACTTCTGGGAAGATTTCTAGATCACAGACCACATATCCCTGCATCCAAGTCCCCCCTGCCTGTGGGATCTGTTGCAAGTGGTGCAGGACAAGTGAACCTCCATACCCACTTGCACCAGGGCATTCTCATGACTCAGCATCAGTGTTGGACTTAGTGTGCAAGGGTCTAGCCAGGTCAGTGTTTGTAAAGTCTTCAGGATACGATCCCTCTCTGAACAGCTCTGTGAGGTTGTTGCTGCCTCTATTATTACCCCAGTCTCTGTCTCCTGCTTGAGACTGGTACTTTTGTGACAAAAGTTGGTGTCCTGGGTGCATGTTCAATTGCTATGAAGATATTTCATTTGTAAGCATTCTTCCTGCCAGTGCTGACATAATAGGTAGAAATACAGCAGAAAGCAGTGAAGGAACTTGTGGAGGTAACAGGAGGCTGTGGGAGCAATACAGGGGAGGGCTGAGGCTTCCAGGCTCTGTCTAGGCTTCAGGGCCCCAGGATGCTAGGTCCTCACCAGTCATGCTGCTGCATGGAGAGGATTTTTGGGATATTCAAAGTTTTAGAAATTTGGGGGTTTTTCCTTGAGAAGAAATTGTTGTTAAAAGATTGTTCACCATGACATCTCACTACTAAGTTTGGACAGACTGTTAGACCTTTGCAGTCACATACTACTTTCTATCTCAGTGGTGTCACGTGTCCTTTCCTTGTGTGTTTTGCAAACGCTGGTAAAACAGGGAAGCTTTTCTTCTTGCCTGACAGTAGCCACCTGTGCTCTGTTTTCCTTTTTACTCATTGTTGGTCCTCTGCCCACCTCTTGTTTCAATGTTTGTTTTTTTAACCCTTTATAAAGGACCAGGATTCCTAGCTGTAGGTGCTGCTTTCATATTTTTTCAGTTGAGTGAAAGTGAATAAGCTTTTCCTAATCAGTGATTGCTGCACACTGACTTGGTAGCCACAAATTACTTTAAACCAGTCTTGAACTCATTCATAGTAATACCAATAAAAGAGCAGAACAGCGAAACTGCCACAGTTCATTTGCTAGAAAATGTTTCATCTGGAGTAAAGGCATGGCATTTCTGTTGGATTCACAGCACAGTAAGGAGAGTGCTGCAAATGTTAGTGTTGATCTGCATGTGCGTGTGATTAGTCTTTGGCTGAGGAACGCAGATGTGTAATTCCCATTACTTTCCTATGCTCTTGAGGGTTTTCATGAATTATACGAAAGGGTTTGCCTCTGGGGTTTTTTTCTTATATGAATCTAGTTTAAGCTTCCTTATGAGTCAAAACACAGTTTAATTCATTTTTAAATGAAGATGTTGTTAAATCTGTCCTTCAGATTTAACTCCTTCTCTACCTTAAAGAAGGCTTTAAAAATTATTAAGGAACATTCCTGTGGTGGTTACTAGAACTGAAACTTCCCAGACAGAGCTAAGAATCATCTTTCAGAGTTCAATCAGAGAGCCTTGGTAGCATTTGCCATTCATTCCTAGGTTACTACTTACCTATTTTTACAGTTACACTAGTTTGAACAGTGATGATTCATCACATACAAACCCAGATGCAATTCAAATATTTTATTCGGTTTTCCTAAGCTTTTTCAATTTTTCTTTATAGTGAGGAATCAAAAAACACAGCAACAACACTGTTGTAGGAACTGCAACAGTGGTTAGTTCTTCATAATAATAATGTTACTGATTAAATCAAGGTTTATGCACCCTTTGGCTAGGCAGATGTTTTTTAACACTTTCATAGGCATTTAGGAAAGTTTTTAATTTCTTTCTGAGTGACTTAACATGGAACAAGCACCTTGTAATAAGCTGAAGAGTGAAAAAGCATCTTCTGTATTTTTAAATTTCTGGTCAAGCACTAGAAATTTAATGCATGGAGCCAAGACTGTCTGGAAGGCTTCAGTTCTGTCCATTTTGAAAACATACTATTGTAATCATACAAGGATCCCTACAGGACTCTGCCTTGATTCAGAACAGATCACATCTGTGAATGAAAACTGTGTGATGTTGTTTTAATCTGCATCATTCAACACCAGCTTGCGTTGAGTGTTTGATTTTATGCCTACTATGCTTACTCATTTATTCTCTGTAAAGTACTTGTCACAGAAGGAACAAGCTATTTGTGTGTAGGTTGTTACAGCATTTCTATTAATGTTTAGACTTTTCAGGTTTCAGACCCTGAACCCAGCATGCTTGAGCTGAAGGACCATCGGCTTCCAAAGAGTAAAGGCTCTTGTCTTGAATGAACACACTACTTAAAAAAATCAAAAGCTTAATGAAGTCATCCCTTTCACAAACCTTAAAGGACAAAAATAGAGCATAGCTAAGTGCACAGCAATAGCTGGGAGGTAGGACTGAGTCAGCCATAGGAGGGAACTTGGTTGTTTTCCTTTTTTGTATAACTTCCTGGGGTATGAGGCATAAGTTATTGAGTTGTCATGGATAAACAACGTTCTACCCCCTGTCAGTGTAACAGCAAAGTTTTGAATGAGCGCATCTGAATTCTAAGTTTTACTGCATTTATATTGGCATTAGGAATTGTTGATCCGTAGAGGAAGAGGGCCATGCTGCTGAATGTGTGGCTGGCAGCAGTCCTTAGAAGCAGGCAGGACCAGCTTTTGTTACTTCAGTCAACAGGGCAATTTTACTCTGCATTGGGGGTAAAACTGTTTACAGTGCAGAACATGCACTGTATTCTAAAACAGTACATAGATTTCTAAGTTCATGGTAGTGCTGATAGCAAGTCTCAGCTAAGTGTTGTATCATCAGTCCTTGCCCTCCAGATATGGCTGTTCTCTATTGACATCTATAGGAGCTGAGAATGTATAATACCATGCAAGAGGAGTCTTTCCAGGGGTAAATATACAGCTGTGATGAAGTAAGTTCAGGCCCTATTTGGTCACAGACTTTTCATTCTGCTTTCTTAAGTCCCACACTCTTTTCCTGAAAACATTTATTCTTCCTCCCTCCGAAGGAAAAAATATCTTGAATTTGTGTTTATGTCGTTGCTATGACATTCAGTTAAACTGTATGCAGATGCAGGTTCTGTTAATAAGAGAAAAAAAAACTGTACTGTGTACTTCAGTGAACAAAGATTACCCTGTGTTTGTGTTAAAATGTTGCTATGGCAGTGCATATGGTTTTATTTGCTGGGAGTCTGTGGTGAAATGGAAAGAGGTCACATGTATGCAAGACAAGAAATGGCAACAAAAACAACTCAAAATAAATATTGAAACTGAAAGGGAAATTGCAGATGACATGTAAAAGCAGGAAAAAACAGGGACAGTTGTTTTGCTGTCTGTCTGTCTGTTATTTGATAATAGAAATGTCTTTCCACTGTGCCCCAGTGGGTCTCAGTGACCCATGGTACAATGACTTAGCTCTAATGATGCTTTTATTGTGAGAACTTCTTTCCCTCAATGGCCCTGTGCATTGTAGCTTTTTTGTTGTTGCTTTGGAAGCAAAGTTACCCTGGCTTGTTCTGATTTCACCACTGCTAACTTCTCCTGAGAAAAGCATTTCAAGGCTATCTTAATATAGTAGGCTTTTTGGCAGGGAAAATCAAGAGTGATAAAATATGGGAAGCCACTAGAGCCTTGCCTTCCTTTGGGGCAAGGAGAAGTCTTTGTGAACTAGTGATAGAAGCAGTGGATTTAATTTATAGTTTTTTTAACTGGCACAGGAGTCCTTGTATTTATCTAATCCATTTGCATGCGGCTTCTTTTTGCATCAGCTGCATCAGTACAGCTGTTCATGTGGTTGCATGACAAATCAGAATGAGTTCAAAATAATCTGCCAAAGAAGGAGGGATAAAAATGAGAAGGGAGAGAGGGAGTCTTTTAGAGAATAAATGACCACACTGGGAGCTGGCTGGTTCCTGCATCATTCCAGCTGGTGGAAAAGCAAAAGTGTTTTTAAAATCACTTTGCCACTTTCTTCCGATCATCCTTGTTCTGCCTCAACAAGGAGGAAGAAACAACTATGAAAGCTGCTGTTGCCTTTCCACTCCTTGCTTCCAGGTTCTCTACTGGAACTGTATTGTAGCTCCAGAATTTGTCTGTTTTCCCAGGAGTGCCAATAGGGAGTAGAACTGTGCTCAAGTGAGGTAAAAATTAAGTTGAGGTATAGATATTAATGAAAAAGAATGGACTTGCCAGGAAGTCCCCATCACTTCCACACAGCCAGGAGGGCCAACTGTGTCCCAGGGGACATCAGGCACAGCATCCCCAGCTGCTCAAGGGACTTGATTGTCCTGCTCTGC